TAGTTTTGATCTTCTACTTTTTCTTAAGTTCTTTTTTTTTTTAAAAGACTTCATTTATTTATTTTTTAGAGAGAGAGGAAGGGAAAGAGAAAGAGAGGGAGAGAGACATCAATGTGTGGTTGCCCCTCGTGTTCCCGCAACTGGGGACCATGGCCTGCAACCCAGGCATGTGCCCTGACTGAAATCGAACCGGTGAACCTCTTTGGTTCGCAGCCTGTGCTCAGTCCACTGAGCTACACCAAGCAGGGCTTAAGTAAGTCCCTTTAACATTTTATATAATAATGGCTTGGTGATGATGAACTGCTTAGTTCTTTCTTGTTTGGGAAGCCCTTTATCTGTCCTTTGATTCTAAATGATAGCCTTGCTGGGCACAGCAATCTTGGCTGTAGGTCCCTGTTTCTCATGACTTAAAGTCATGAAAATATATTTCTTGACAGTCCCTCCTAGCCTGTAAAGTTTCTCTTGAAAAATCAGCTGACAGTCTTATGGGAAATCCCCTATAGGTAACTAACTTTTCTCTTGCTGCTTATAAGATTCTCTCTTTAACTTTTGGCATTTTAATTGTGATGTGTCTTAAAATGGGCCTCTTTGGGTCCAACTTGGGTGGGACTCTGTGCTTCCTGGACTTGTATGTCTATTTCCTTCACCAAATTAGGGAAGTTTTCTCTCATTTTTTTCAAATAGATTTTCTTTTTTTTATAGCTGATATTTCTTTTTTATTTTTATTTTTTAATATATTTTATTGATTATGCTATTACAGTTGTCCCATTTTCCCCCCTTCACTCCCCTCCACCCTGTACACCCTCTCCTACCCATATCACCCCATTTAGTCATGTCCATGTGTCATACTTATAAGTTCTTTAGCTTCTACATTTCCCATACTATTCTTACCCTCCCCCTATCTATTTCCAACCTACAATCTATGTTACTTATTCTCTGTACCTTTTCCCCCTCCCCTCTCTCCTCCTCCCACTCCCCTGTTGCTAACCCTCCATGTGATCTCCATTTCTGTAGTTCTGCTCTTGTTCTAGTTGTTTGCTTAGCTTCTTTTGGTTTTGCTTTAGGTGTGGTTGTTAATAATTGTGAGTTTGCTGTCCTTTTACTGTACGTGTTTTTTCTGTATCTTCTTTTCTTAGATAAGTCTCTTTAACATTTCATAAAATAGATGAACTCCTTTAACTTGACCTTATCTGAGAAGCACTTTATCTGCCCTTCCATTCTAAATGAAAGCTTTGCTGGATAGAGTAATCTGGGATGTAGATCATTGCCTTTCATGACTTGGAATACTTCTTTCTAGCCCCTTCTTGCCTGTAAGGTCTCTTTGGAGAAATCAGCTGACAGTCTGATGGGAACTTCTTTGTAGGTTACTGTCCCCTTATCTCTTGCTGCTTCTAGGATTCTCTCCTTCATTTTTACCTTGGCTAATGTAATTATGATGTGCCTTGGTGTGTTTCTTCTTGGGTCCAACTTCTTTGGGGCTCTCTGAACTTCCTAGATTTCCTGGAAGTCTATTTCCTTTGCCAGAGTGGGGAAGTTCTCCTTTATTATTTGTTCATATACGTGTTCAATCTGTTGCTTTTTCCTCTTCCCCTTCTGGTACCCCTATAATTCTGATGGTGGGATGTTTAAAGATGTCCTGGAGGTTCCTAAGCTTCTCGTTTTTTTGAATTCTTATTTCTCCATTCTTTCCTGTTTGGTTGTTTTTTTCTTCCTTTTGGTCCACTCCATTGATTTGAGTCCCCATTTCCTTCCCATCACTATTGGCTCTCCATGCATCTTCCTTCATCTCTTTTATGGTGACCTGCATTTTTTCATCTAATTTGCTCCCAAAATCAACCAGTTCTGTGAGCATTCCTGATCACCAGTGTTTTGAACTGTGCATCTGATATGTTGGCTATCTCTTGGTCGCTCAAAAGGATGAGTCCTGGGGCATTGATATGTTCTTCTGTTTGAGACATGTCCCCCCCCCCTCTCTCTCTCTCTCTCTCTCTCTCTCTCTCTCTGTCTCTCTCTTTTTTTGGTCTGGTCGCTCCTGTTACGGTGAGGGGCAGAGAGCCTTAGGTGTTCACCAGGGCTGGGCACCCCAGTTGCTAGATTGTGACGTTGTAAGTGTGGGCAGGGGCAAGGGTACTAGGGAACAATGGTGGTAGCTCCATTCTCCTGGGACCTCAGTCCCTTCTCTGGGATCCTGGGTTGCGCGCTCTGCCCTGGTCCACAATCGCTGCCTCACTGGGTATGCCAGCTGCCGCTTGCGAGCTCAGGGTCCACCTGCTGCGATCTTGAGCGCCCCAGATGCCTTACGCGCTCCTGGTTGTCTTATGCACCCACTGCTCTCTGCTTTCTGCGCTGCCATCCGTGCTGTGACCCGCAGCCGGCTGCTCCTCTCCGCCCCTCCTACCAGTCTGGATGAATGGGTCTACTTCAACTTCTTGGCTGTCCAACTTCCATTCAAATAAATTCTCTGTCAGTTCTGGGTGTTTAGAGGCAGAATACTGCCTCTAAATTGTTGTTCTAATCTTGGTTGTGCATGGAGGTACAGTGCGTCCACCTATGCCTCCATCTTGCCGGAAGTCCCCATTTTTTTCAAATAGATTTTCAATTTCTTGTTCTTTCTCTTCTCCTTCTGGCACCTCTACGATATGAATATTGGAACATATGAAGTTGTGCCAGAGCCTCCTTATACTTTTCCTCATTTTTTTGGATTCTTTTTTCTTCTTGTTCTGGGTGGTTGGTTGCTTTTTGCTTCCTTATGTTCCATATCATTGATTTGATTATTGGTTTCATCCACTCTACTATTGTTTCCCTGTAAATTGTTCTTTATTTTAATTAGTGAATTCTTCATTTGTGACTGGGTATTTCTTATGCTGTTGAGATCCTTACCAGGTTCCTTGAGCATCCTTATAACCAGTACTTTGAACTCTGCATCTGATACATTGCTTATTTCCATTTCATTTAGCTCTTTTTCTGAAGTTTTGATCTGTTCTTTCATTTGGGCCATGTCTCTTTGTTTTTCTTTTCTTTTCTTTTCTTTTTTTTTTTTTGGTCAGCTTTCCTGTGTGTGTTTCTATGTGTTAGGTAGAGCTGCTATGACTTCCTGTCTTGGTAGCATGGCCTAATGTAGTGGGTATCCTGTAGGGTCTAGTGGGACACCCTCCTTTTATAGTTGAGCTTTGATTGCTGTTGGCAGGTTAATGGCAGTGATTTACCCAGGCCAGTCAGCTGCAAGGACTGTCTGTCCACTGACCACCAACGTCTGGGCTCTGGAATCCACTGAGTCTGCCCCTTGAGCATGTCACTTGTCCAGGTGATTGTGTGGTTGTGCTCCAATGTGGTCTCTAGCTGTCCACTGGCTGTGCAGGCTGTGGGGTTTCCCAAGTGGTGCAGGCCAAGGTCGTGTTCTGTCTGGGGCCATGTGGAAGAAGTTATGAAACAATTTGCATTTGGCTGCTACTTGTGCTGGGCTTAGAGGTACCATAGCAAGTCCATGCTGTGAACGTAGGCTGGTTACATGAAACCAAGGACTGAAGGTGGATTTAGCAGTAAGTTAAGAATAGAGTGCTTAACTGAATAAGGCCATGAAGCACGCACACACCGCCCGTCACCGGTGTCTGTCTAAGGAAAATAAATTCCTTAAAGTGATAGCGTTCAATTAATAAGAGTCGGAGAAAGTGTGCGAGGGAGGCTTTAGTTTTGTGGCGGGGCCAGGCCTGGGGCCACTTAGCAAGAGTATGGGGTCTAGGGGCTCACTAAGACTGGCTGTTACTTGTTTGAGAGGATTTAGGAAAGTCTGAAGCATGAGCCAAGACCAGCCATTCATATGGAAAAGCCACTGTTAATAACTTGAGTGGGCACATAATTGGGTGGGATGGAGACTCGGAATCACCAGTGTGGAACAAACAGTGTTAGGCAGGTTGATGGAGTCTCAGATATGGCACTGGCCTGCTGATTTGTGGTTCTGTGTGGGGAGGGCTTAGAAAAGGAATGATGGCCTCTGCCCACAGTTCTGTCTGGGAGAAAGCTGTCCCCCAGCTCTCCCCCTGATGCCACTCAGTTGCCATATGCCTTTCAAGCTCCTACCTTGGTGCTGGAGCTCAGAGGTAGTGAGTCTGAGTAAGTCTGTATGTGGTCCATTTAAAAGGAACTGCTCAGGAAATCAGCAGTTTCTTCTACTGAGCCAATCCCTGCTAGTTTTTGCAGCCAGAAGTTATTGGGACTTATCTTCCTGGCATTGGAACCTTGGGCTGGGGACCCTGGTTTTGGGCTGGCACCCCGGTTTTGGGCTGGCACCCCTTGCTCCTGAGGTATCCCTCCCATTTTTTATTTACTACACATGGATGTGGGACCAGCCCATTCCACGTCTCCACATTTCTGCATCTGAGCCCATTGTACCAGTCTGGATGGATGTGGTTTCTTTAATTCCATAGTTGTTGGACTTCTAATCAACTCTATTTCTGACAATTGTGATTGATGATTGTTCTGTACTTTAGTTGTAATTTTGATATGGTTGTGTGAGAAGGTGAGCCATATTTACCTATGCCTCCATCTTGACTGGAAGTTTTATTCAGCCTTTTTACTGAAGGAAATGGCAATTTGTTAGTCCATTAACTATTTAATACACCTGGGGGAAGTTGCTTGCCATAGGTAATGACAGATAAAATAGTAGGATGTGAAATGGCCCTTCCATCTGGCCCCAACTGAATGCAGGGTGCTGAAACTGATGTCCATGATCCAAATGTGAGGTTTCACATGGAGCACAGGAAAGCTCTCTCAGTTGGGAGGCTGGATGTACAAGATCAAGGCATCGGCAGTTTGGGTATCTAGCAAGAAACCTCCTCCTGGTTTGTAAACAGCTGTCTTCTCACAGTTTCACACAAGTCAGAAAGCTAGGTTCATTTTATAGCCACCAGCAGTTCTAGACAACTCATTTGCCTGTTAATAGCAAGTTTTTACTGATGAAATGCTTCTGATATTTTACTTTCTCATGGTCTTTTCCTTTACAGCCTGAAGCAGCCTGTCACCCTGCCATATTCAGAATAGTTGATGAAATGTTCAGGTAAATGTTGTGCTATTTCTGCATATAATTGATTTTAAAATGCCCAATTTCCAAGTATAAATAAAAAATTCTGTGGTAGTCTCTGGCTGTATCATGGGCAAATTAGTTTCTGATTCCATCTGACTCCTCTGAGCTTTTTGGTGAAGCCCAAATGTCCATGTATATTTAAAAGCCAATGCTTAAGAATTTAAATAATTTTATTTTTTAACCTTTTAAAATTCTAATAATAATGGTACAAAAGAGTTGAATTAGATTTTTAATCATTAAATGGTTACGTGGGCTTTTTCTCAGTTCAAAACAAAGTGTAGCAGTGTACTCCCTTCACCACATGAGGGCTGACCAATCTTTTAAAAGGGTTTTTAAAGCTAAGGAAAAAATGGGAAAAAGAAATAAATAATTCTATCTTAACAGACCTCTTCTGAAAGGTAAAATCAGCTATGCAAGTTATCTTACAACACATTGATTTTTATTTTGCAAATTGAGCACTTCTTGGGAAACACATTGGATTTACAAGTGCTCAGAGATGAGACTACTGGGCACCAGTTTAGGTAATGGCTGACCAGTATTGGGAGACTTGACCCCTGCTTAGGAGCTTGTCACCAGGAGAGGGTTTGCAGTCTCTTCAAGGCTGCTAGCATGGCCAGGATGTCTGCCCTTTCTGTCTCACTCCACCTCGCAGTCAGTGGTAGGGGCTTCAGAGCAGCGGCAGACACTAGGGAAAGAAATTTTTACAACAGTAAATCACCTAGCACTTGGGTTGGTCTTGAAACATACCTTATTTCTGTAAGGATAGAAATAAGAAACCAATGCCATTTTGAGTTTAAAGCTAGCAAGGTTTGAACTGCTTTTTTGTTTAAACTTAAAAAAAATTAATTGGATGAAAATGCATGGACAATAACCAGCTACATGGAGATTCTTCCACCACTTTGGTGGGTAGATTTGACCAAGCCATTTCCCCTCCTTGAGCAGCTCTTTCTCCACGTGAAAAAACAAAAGATCCATTGCTGTTGCATGTCTGGGCATATCGTGTATAAATAAATATTTGTGGAGCATTCAGGCCTATGTGGAAAGTATCTGCAGTGCTTAATAATTTCAAATCCAAGGAAGGGAGTGCTGCACGTTACCATTTCAGTCTTTAGAAAGGAGTGGCAGAGTTCTTCTGCTTTACAGAGGGACTGACATCTGAAGCTTATGACACAAAAAGAATGTTTCCACTCTTCTCTTGTACAATTCAGGTTCATATGTTTACTAAATCAGTCACTAAATGTCTTGTGCTCTGGCCTTGCATTGCTCAGGTATGCACTCCTGGGAACTGATGGAGCCCCAGAAGTACTAGCCACCATTCAAATATTTACATTGTGCTTTGTAGAAGCTCTGAAAAAAGAAAACAACCAGGTTTGTTATATTGCATATATTACTCATTTTTCCAAAGAAAAGAAAGACTGCTCAGAGTATTTGGCTAATCGTTGGAAAGGAGCACTTAATTTTCAGTGATTTTGATAGACTGTTTTGCTCACAAAGAAAGTTTCCAAATGCATGCTCCAGCAAAGGTAACACTATTTTAATTCAAATAGTTTCTGTCTGTCCTGTGCCCTGGTACTCAGAAGCATTTATCTGCCGTTGTGTCAGAGAACTCTGTCATGCCAGCCCTGAAAGATGAATTTCCAAGCCCTGTGTGTATGCTGTCTGCCAAGTGGGACCACCGTCCCAGACCAGCAACAGGCATCCTGGAGTCCATGCAGCATGTGCTGAGAAGGAAATGCCTCTTATAACAAAGCAATACTGGACATTCTTAATTATTAGAGTTTTCTTTCCTTTGAGAAACTCAAATGTGAATTGCATTCTTCCAGGAGAGAGGTAGTGAGAATAAGGAAAGATTTGAATAACTGTCGAAGGGGAGCTGAAAATGGTAGGGACCAAGAGGTGCTAGTTGGACACAGTGAGCAGGAAGCCAGGCTCAGGGCCTGCAGGAAGACCTGCACTACAGGGCTCCCTCAGCTGGGGCCAGGCGACAGCAGGCAAGGACCACTGACCGGTTAGAGTGACCCTGTGGAACAACAACCTTTTCTACCAGAGAGCTCTTGCCTTTGGGCATTTGAACTAGCCCAAACGTTTGTGAGTTGCTTGCCTGTTTAAGGGCCTGAGTCCACTGAAGCTTCCTAGGAGGTATGGCATGGTCCCTCATGATGCTCTCAACAGTGTGACTAAGGAGAATAGTGCTGTGATGCTCAGCTCTGCTGAAATCCCACACACCTCTACCCCAAAGACTGCTGAGGTTTTATCATTGCTGTTTAAGACAGTAATAAATATTTATGATGTATTTTTTCCATCCTCTCTTTCCCTGGGGAAGTTAGCTAAACTGTAGCAAACAGTGTTATCAATGATACCCTCCTGGAATTCAGGAGGAGAATTCTGCCGAAAGGCGCTGACTGTCTGGCCCTCATTCTTATTTTGCAGCATAACTATAACTACCTTCTGTTCTCCTTTATACGTTCTTTGTATTCCCAATTAGATGGCCTTTTAGAAAGTCTCTCCCTTGACCTGTAACACATACCTAGGTTGGGGTGGAAGACACTAGTGAAAGAAGTGCTGCTCCTCAGTGTTAGCTTGAGTCTGTTTTTCTTACCAGCTTTGCTCCTCCAGAGTGTTGGCCTTGGGCACTACAGATTTGGACTTGATTTGAAGTTGCTTTTAATTAATTAATTTAGTTTTATTTTTTATTGAGGTGTAATTGACATATTCTGTTAGTTTCAGGTGTACAACATAATGATTGAATATTTGTATATTGTGATACGATCTTCACAACAAGTCTAGTTAACATCTGTCACCAACCAGTTACGAATTATTTTCCTGTGATGAGAACTTTTAATATCTACAGTCTTAGCAATTTTCAAATATGCAATACAGTATTAGAAACTTTATTTGATTATATCTGTACATTACACCCCCATGAACTATATATTTTATAGCTGAAGTTTGTGCCTTTTGACTGACTACCTTGACTGATTTCACCCACCTCTATCAACCACCAATGTGGTCTCTGTGTCTGAGTTTGGACTTCCTCCCTCCCTCCCTTCCTTTTTTTCTTTCTTTCCTAAAATTGCACATATAATTGAGATCATACAGTGTTTGTCTTTCTCTGTCTGACTTATTTCACTTAGCATAATGCCCTTGAGGTTCATCCATATTGTCCCAAATGTCAAGATATCATTTTTATATGGCTGAGTAATATTCTATTGTGTATACACACAGCACCTTTTATCCACTCATCCATTTGATGGACACTTAGGTTATTTCCATGTATTAGGTATTCCAAATAATGCTGCAGTGAACATGAGGATGCATACTAGGGCAGACTCAAGAAATGGAATTTATTTATTAAAAAATTGTAATGGACTGCTTGAAAAAAAATCATGTGTTTTTTCTTACATGTTTAAACTTCAGTCGCTTTCCAAGTATTTTCCATATGATGCAATATACCTATTGAGACTTTTTTTCACTGCTCAGAACATTTTTTGATCTTGTTAATTTTGATGTATTTTAGTGCTTCTGCTGTTTTTTGTTTCACCTCTTTCACACTAGCAAAACGTTTGCCTTTGAGGACTTTTTCATCTGGGGAAACAAAAAAAGTGTTGCTTGGGGCAAGATTGGGTGAATAGGGAGGATAGGGAATGGGGTCATGCTGTTTTTGGTCAAAGACTGCTGAGTACTCACTGCAGTGTAGGCAGGTATACTTGTAAATCACCCATCGTGAAATGGACACTTTGAAAGAGTCTTCAAAAAAAATTCACTGAGGCAGAACTAGCCTCTCACAATGCCAGCTGGTTCATAGATACAGATGGGTTCCTAGAACACTCATCTGATGGGAGGAACCTGTACTACAGGGCACCCACTGTCCAGAAGATAAATCCAGTTTTTCTGGGGCCCCCTGTCATATATCTTTTGAGTTTGTGTTTTCATTTTTGTCACATACCTACTCAGGAATAGAATTGCTGGATCATATGGTAGCTGTGTTTTTTTAGGAACTTCCATACTGTGTTTTATAGAGGCCGCAACAGTTTACATTGCCACCAACAGTGTATAAGGGTTCCCTTTTTTCCACATCCTTGTCAGCATTTGCTATTTTTTATCCTTTTGATAACAGCCATTCTAACAGGTGTGAGGTGATATCTCATTGTCATTTTGATTTGCATTTCCCTGATGACTAATGATGTTGAGCTTCTATTCATGTACCCATTCATGTCCCCGTTGGTAGTACTCCACTGGGAAAGTGTGCCACAGTGTAGCTATTTCCTGGTGGTGGGCATTTGGGTGGTTTCTACCTTTTGTTTTCTTTTACAAACAGTGTTTTCCTGGACATTCTTTGATATATACTTAGCAGTAGAAGTGCTGGTTATTACAAATGCAAAGTTCTGCTTCTATAGATGCTGCCAAATTGTTTTCATTACACTCTACACACACCCACACACACACACACAGAAGTGTATAAAAAATCCCATTAGTCCACATTCTTTCCCTTTGTCAGGAATGTTTATTTTCATTCTCTTTTTATCCTTTCCTTTCACCCATTTTATTTGGAAAGCACAGTGCAACTCCATCAATCAGGCTAGCTCAATCAGGCTAGTAGGCAAACACTTAAAATTGTCCCGACGAGCCACTTTTTCTGACCCTGCATAATAGCTCAGTACAAACAGCAACTCAGTTCAGAATCTGGTTCTACTAGTGGCAGAATCTAATAATGTACTAGACTAAGTCTCCCACACATAAAAGTTACAAACTCTGGCCCTGGCTAGTGTGGGCCAGTGGATTGGGTGTCAGCCTGCAAACCAGCAGGTCACTGGTTCAATTTCTAGTCAGGGCAGATGTCTGGGTTGTGGGCCAGGTCCCTGGTTGGGGGCGTATGAGAGGCAACTGGTCGACGTATGTCTCGCACATCGATGTTTCCTCCCTCTCTTTCTCCTTCCCTTCCCATCTCTCTAAAAATGAAGAAATAACATTTTTTAAAAATTATAAACTCTGGGGAAAATATTTTTAAGAACGATTTGAAGGTACTGGAGAGTAACCAAAAAAGCAGATAGAAACTGGAGTGGATTCAGCCCTTGAAAAAGGAAATTTCATTTGTATTCTTCTTACTTTCCTCAGAGGGCTCTCATGTAAGGGATGGGAGCAGGGTTAAGGGGAGTTAATATGTGGCCAGAACTCAAGACACAATCTGATTGACTTGAGTATCAAAAGGCAAAGCTGTGGGCTATCAGAGGAACAAAAAATAGATTGGAAAAAGAAACTAATATCAAAAGATAGACCTAATTTCAAACATAGCTACAAGTACATGAAAAGTTAACTGAAAATTATATAGCAGTAAAAAGGCTGATAATTTAGTCTGAATGAAAAACTGAGACCCAACTATATGTTGTTTTCAAGAGACTCATTCTAATTATAAAGATACAGATATAAGTAAAAATAAGGAAATAGATATGTTATGATTTTAAATAATAAGCACAAAAAAGCTGGTATGATTCCACTAGCAGCAAACAGATTAGACTTCAAGACAAGGAGTATGACCAGAGATTAATGAGGGACATTTTATAATGACAAATTTATCAGGTAAATACCAATTATAAACAGATATGTACTTAATAACAAACAGAGTTCTGAAATACATAAAGCAAAAACTGACAGAAATAAAAATAGAAATAGGTAAATCCAGGCACACATAAAAATATTTAGGATTAAATTTAACAAAAGGTGTATAAGACCTCTACATAGAAAACTAAAATATTGCTGAGGTAAATGAAGAAAACTGAAATATATGAAGAGAAAAACCATATTCATGAATTGTTGAGATGCCTATTCTCCCCAAATTGAGTTGTTGCTTCAATGTGATCCCAGTCAAAATCCCAGTAGGTGTTTTTAAAACAAATTGACAGGCTGATTTTATTTATTTATTTTTAATCTTTAAGTATATTTTATTGATTATGCTGTTACAGTAGTCCCAGTTTTTTTTCCATTTGCCCCCGTCTGCCCTGTACCCTCCTTCCTTCCAGCAACACCCACCACCCCTTTAGTTTATGTCCATGGGTCATGCATGTAAGTTCTTTGGCTTCTCCATTTCCTGTATTATTCTGAACATCCCCCTGTCTATTTTGTTCCTACCAATTATGCTTCTTGATCCCTGCACCATTTTCCCCATTCTACTCCTTCCCCCTTGCAGCTGATAACCCTCCAAGTGATCCCCATACTCATGATTCTGTTCCTGTTCTAGTTGTTTGCTTAGTTTTTGTTTTTATTTTTTAGATTCAGTTGTTGATAGTTGTGAGTTTGTTGTCATTTTAATGTTCATAGTTTTTATCTTCTTTTTTTTAATAAGTACCTTTAACATTTCATATAATAATGGC